CACAAATAGTCAGAAGAAACATGTTTGGGAGAAAGAAAAAATATTATTTCTGAACACACAGAAGGTATTTTTTAAAAATCCATCAATAGAAAGAAATAACAATTTTTCATTATATCTAAATAATGAGTAAAAAATTGAAAGCCCCTTGAGTATTTGAAACTTTTTGAGAACCAACAAACTTACGGACAAAAATCGAGATTCATCTCCTTGTCAAAGATGAAGCGGCAGCCTTCAGATCCCTGCATTAACTCAACTATTTTTAGCTCACTACTGGCACATTCCAAGTTGATCAGGAAGGAAACGTCTGAAGTACAAAAGTAAAGAACACCACACTGGGTTTTAGCTAGAAGCGGATTCACGATGTTAAATAGAACACCCCCCCTCCTCCCCATCAATCCAAAATAGGGGGGGGGAATAATCATAACGTAGCACTGATAAATGAACATTATTGTTTTTACATACTGCATATTTATTGGTGGTTCTGGGGGAAATTTAGGACTTACCCTACCACTCCTCCCCCAAATAGAGCTTATTCTGATATTTCTGGTGTGTAATGGAGGCCTAGCCTACCACTCTTCCCTCAAATAGAGATTATTTTGATATTGTTTCAGCCACTGAAGAAACGGAAGGCATATTCTCCTTATGATTGAAGCACCGCCGACCGGCAATAAATTATTTGCTTAAGATTTCAAATAGAAATAATTTGTTTATTTTAATAGCAGTGAATCCAGAACTTAAAGTCTATTGTATAAGATCATAACGATCGTCTTAATGACAGTTTACGTATGTTCAGTGTTTTTGTAAATGCCTATATTAAGTTCATTTTTAATGAATTTTAGAGCACGTTTATTATATTGATAGTTCAAAACATCACAACACCCAATTATTGTTTAGCAAAGTCTCGAGTTCAAACCCACTGGCAGATAAATCTCGATCCCCTTCAACACTAATAATTAAGAACGAAGAAGAAGAAGAAGCTTAGCTAAAAATATTTAATTAGTTTCACTTAATGAACGCGTGACTCTAAATTTTTTAAAGTTGAGATTTACAATAATTCATTTTTAAGAAAATTATTCTTGAATTTACTAGCGTGAACCTACCATCTCTGCTTTCATCAGTGCACAGAAAATCAGCCACACCGACCATGCTCTCGTAGTTGTTGAGTACCCATTGATGGTCGCACTCGTCTCTGGCGTCCCTGAAGCAGCTACTGAACGTCTGGCTTTTCCTGGAAGTATTAAGGTTCTTTTGGTGTTATCAATCAACTATACATATACTATACTACGCTCTCTATTCCGGGAGGTTATTTTTTGCCTCACAGAAACATATGATATCCTGTGCATTAAAAATTACCTTGAATAGAAATCTAACGCTTGAACTTACTAAACTACTTTAAGTTTTTATTTTTATTTTTGCGTAGGCCATGATGTGAATCATACATAAGAACAGAGTTTCTTTCAGCCATCTTTTAGTGGTGGGCGCAGTCTCCCCCCCCCCCCCCTTCCACGAACGAAATAAAATTTATATACAAATTATAGAAATTATATTATACTTTTATCAGTGTCAGCAGCCCCCCCCCTCCCCCTGGGAAATTTAGTTCGCCAACTTCCCGACATTTCAAGTGTACCCCTCCCCCCCCCCCCCCCCTCCTTCGGAGGAAATAAGTCTAGAGAAAAAAACTGTGCATTAGAATATTAAACTAGGTATACAAACTATAGTTGCACTTATTACTGATTTTAAAATATTTTGTATAAGCTGTTTAAACTTAAAGATGCAAATATGCAAGTGCGAAGGATGGCGGTATTAGCTTGCATTTCCCAATTGGCTGTACTAAGTCAAATATAGTGCTCAAAAGCACTTGCTAAAATATAGTAAAAATACTAACAGCTTACTGATCAATCGTTGACTATTTGCTAAGCCATTTATAATGACTATGGAACCGCGTGGTAGAATGGCAGAGTTCGAGACTGTTGCTAGAGTCGTAGCGCGTCTCTGAGTCCGCCCAGTTCTGATGGGTACCTGACTTACGTTAGGGAAAGTAAAGGCGTCTGGGCATGGTGCTGACCACACTATGCCTTTATATGCTAAGGTCACAGAAACAAGTACAATTTATTTGACCTGTCCCAGTGGGCCTTCAGGCTAAAAAGAAAACTTAACATTACTTTACTTATAGAGGAGTGACTGATAACTTGTTGTTTAAATAATCTATTAACATTTTGTCCATTTAACCACCATTCTCATTAATTAATAAAATATTGACCACTGCTGAAAAAAAAGGGACCAAATATTGTCCAATGCCAACCGAACTTAGTGCCCAAATACTTCATGCTGCAGGTTTAATATTAACCACATATTCACCAATCTTTGAACACTTACTGACAGAACTGATCATAGAATGCAGCATTGCCGAAATATTTGAAGTCTTCTGGGTCTAAATTGTTCAGCGGGTTGATGCAAGAAAAAATCTTGTCACAGCCGCCACTCCTTTTGATAGTGTTACATTCTGAAATGAGTTTCATGACTAACCAACACGTCAACACAAATATCTGTCACCTGTAAACTAGGGTTAATCAAATGTAAAAATTTGACGCGCAATTTTTTTTCTTATTAATCTAATATATAAAGCTCAATTCTGTATGTAATAAGTTTGTCGTTGACACACTTCGATGGATTTAAGTGTTAGATAATTAAAGTCCTTATGGTCTAAATTTATGAGTTAAAAAATTAATATTGAAAGTTTTGGGAAATAATTTTCATTTATCAAACTGAAAGCAATAATTTTCGGCATGTTCATTAAACACAAGTTTAAAAAAATATCATCTTTTACAAAAAATTCTAATTATGTCTTTATTTAGTCCTATAGCACTTACTTCCCGATTAGTTCCCTATATAAAACCATTACATTAGTGGAAAAGAATTTACTTTTTATTACTTTGTTTTGGTGTTGGGAAAAAAAAAATTACATAATTAGCGGGTATTGATCAAGTGCAAATGTTGTAGGTATTTTACGGATTAGCTTGGAGTATTATAATTGTTCATTAAATTGAAACAGGCGCGTTCGTTTAAGTGAGTGCAAAAGACTATGAATAAGTTGGGGTACTATAGTCGTTTATTAAGCTAAAACAGGCGATTCCGCCCCGGGCTAGAATGTGAGCACTTTGCGTTTATGTTCGCGTTAGTGTTTTCTTTGTGTTTAGGTTGGGTTTGCGTTAGTGGTTGCGGTTTGATTTGGTTCGTTTTTGTTCTTTCTTTTTTCGTTTTTGTTTGTGTTTTTTTCTTTGGGATTGTATTTGTGTTTTTGGTTGGTTTTGCGTTTGGATTTGGTTTGTTTGCGTTTGCTTTTTCGTTTTTTTGTGTGTGTTGTTATTGGTTGGTATTGGTGTTTGTGGTTGTGGTTGGGTTTGTTGTTAGGTTTTTGTTTTCGTTTGCTTTTTTGTTTGTTTTTTCTTTGTGTTTGTATTGGTGTTTGTGGTTGTGGTTGGGTTTGTTGTTAGGTTTTTGTTTTCGTTTGTATTTGTAATTGTGTTAGCGTTATGTTTGCGTTTTGTTGTTTTGGTTTTGGTTGGTTGTGGTTTGGGTGGGCAATGCCGGGTTCATGGTGATTACTAAACACACAGGTAATGGTCTTTAACAGAAAGGTTTTTCACAGAAGCCAGAGCAGGGCCTGGCCGGGACGGCTAGTCTAATATATAAAGCTCAATTCTGTATGTAAAAATAAGTTTGTTTGTCGTTGACATACTTCCATGGATTTAAATGTTAGACTATTATCGTGCTCATAGTCTAAATTTATGTAAGAATATCACACTTAGCCAACTTTCTATGTAAGAAAATCCCACTCAGTCAACACCCCATGTGAGAATATCACTATGCCAACATCCCAAACATGAATACCACACTCAGCTACACCCCATGTAAGAATATCAGACCTCGCCCCAATCCTATGTACTTTACACTCTTTTTATTATTAATTTTAAAATGTGTTTAACATTCTTTTCAAAGATTTTTTTTAATCTACAAGGTTGTTGTTTTTAATAGTAACCGTTAATATGTTAGGATTAGTGTTCATTTTAGGATTACGGTGTAGATATATTTTGGGCTCAATTGTGACGGTTTGGGAAATATGTTTAGGGTTACGATGTCGATTAAAAAACTTTGATATCTGTTAAAAAGGAATTTCTTAATTCTCAAAACAAAAAATTAAATAGTTAAAATGAGTTTAAAGGATATGAAGAAATAGACTACGGATTAGAAAAAAATAACTAACATCGTCCTTATAATGATAATTTTTTTTCAGAACAAAGTACACCGTAGAACTTACTGACAAAATTCTTGATACGCCCCACCATCACCCAGTCTGCCGATATTGGACACCGTGACAGCCTCGATAGGACTAAGGCAGGCCTGCAGACCTTCACAGCCATCGCTTCGCTTGACATGGTTACATTCTGGAAGAGTTTCAGGCTTGAAAATGTTAACAACTGACATCTTTAAAAACTTAAAAACTGTTTGAATTTAATACCTGTGTTGTATTTGAAATGTTTTTTTAAGAACTTATAATGGATGATGCATGGCTAATCGAAATGATAATTGTATATCTAAGATTTAAAAAAAAATAAAAAAAAATGGGTGTCAGTAACTGAACGAAATACCAAGGGGAGTGAGACATTAACGCCAATATCATGGTATGAATTAAAGGGAAAGTCTACTGATTTGAACCCGGACTCGAACTTGAGACTTTCGGGGTAGCAGGCTAACTATCTACCGCTAGGCCACTCCGTCCTATCAAACGGCGGTGGTTAATAAAATCTGACGTAGCATTCTTTTCAATTTGTATCCGAACGAAATACACTACATTTTTAAAAAATCCGGTAGGATTTATAGTTAATGGCGATAAGGGGTGGGGGAGCGAGCTATCTTACATAAATGTTTGGGGGGTGCATGGTACGGTCATCTTTTAAACAGGATGGTTCATCGTTAAAATATGGACTCTAGTGTGACGTCACTTTTATTGGTTTCTGATTTATTTATTTTTTGGTAGTAATTTATATTGGTGGATGAAGGTGGGGTATGAATTTACTTGCAGACGACAACAAACTACTTACCAACGAGGACGAGACAAAGAGATAAAACCAAGACCAGTCGGAGCATGTTGGAAATGTGAAGCAACCAAATCTGGCTAGGTGGCAAATCACGTGTGGTACCGTTCTATTGTGATGACCCAGCTTATATAGGACTACTACAACCGTTAATTGGTCTAATATCAGCCATTAGAGCTATTTACTGCGGCCTGTTGTGTGGATGACCATGTTAAAAAGTGCATCTGTGCAATTTTTCGAATTGAATGCCAGCATGTTTTTTTTTTTATTTAGAAAGGTTCCATAGAATTGAACCAATGAGATTTGTAAACTATTTTACGTATTTAGAATACGTAGACTTGATATTCGGAAGAGGTTGCTGATGTGGTAGACGACACATTCGCCTTCCCATAGGCGAGTTCTATGCTCGTGCTCGAGGGATGAGGACTCTCCTGAGTCCGCCCAGCTCTGGTGAGTACATGACTCTAAACGTGAAAGTAAATAATGACTGGGCATGATGTTGACCACACGATTCTCAAAATATGCCGAGGTCAAGGTATTACAACTGTATTTTATCTGCTCTGTGGACCGTTAGTTTGAAAGTGTGTTTACCTTTAGGTTTGGACTGATCTAGTCTTAAACAATAACATCTTCCCAGGCATACCAAAGCAAAGAACATAGGAACTAGACTAATAACTAACAAGTCACAAGTTGAGGCGAAAACAAGTCTATTTAAAGCTCAACAACACAACATAAAATACTTTCATCCGCCCTTTTCCTCTGCAACCAGTTATCCCGAATACCCGCGCACATTATCGATGCTTGTCAACTACCCCCCCCCCCCACCACCCATCCACATTGCATCCCGGTTACCCCAACTTTATTCCACGAATCCCCCCCCCCCCCCTCCAAATACCACCTTCCGTCTCTTGTAAAGGGAATATTATTGTCTATAGAACAGGCTGTTGTTGCAGCTGCTTAATCTGAAAACGTGCACATCTACGATAGTTAACTGGTAATTATGTCATTATCTTCCAGTGGTTAGAAGCAGGCGAGCTATCATTAGTTACAATTATAGTGGTTACAGTGTGGAGGATAAAAAAAATGAACTAATGTAGAAATTATAAATTGCATTTTTAAGTATAAAAGTCGCAAGTATGTCATATCTGGCTAATTAAGTAAATTATAAAGATATTTTGTCAGCATCAAAATCTACTTTAAAAAATATTTTGATATTTAGCCGAGACACTTGGCATAGATTTAAAGCGATGTTGTTTTAAATATCTGAGTGACATAGTTTACAGTTCTTCAGACAATCATGTACTCTCTACATGTGTCGACCTAAGGGGGTCTAGGTGGTCAGAGGCGTAGCGACCCTTCCCGGCGCCCGGGGACAAACTTTCAATTTGGCGCCCCCCTCGGGATCAACCTTTCAATTTTCGATTTGCACCCCCCGCCCCTCGAACTTTCGATTTGCACCCCCCTCATATATTTTTTAATTTATTTATAAAGCAAAAATTCAGCTAAAATAATATTTTAATTTGTTTTGCCAACCCATTTTGGCGCCCCCTAAGGTCGGCGCCCGGGGACATATGTACCCCCTGCCCCCCCTTCGCTACGCCTCTGTAGGTGGTACTTGGTGAGTTTCTCTCCAAAATGTTTTTTAGGGGTTGGAGGGTGGGGGGGGGGGCGCACGAGCTCTTTGGAGACATTATTTACTTTTTATATCTTTATATTTATATATTATATAATTTATAACTTCCTGTTAAATATTTGCAAAAAAGCGGTCAATATACACATTAATTCCGTTTTTGTATAAGTTGATGGGTTCTGCTTTCTCTCCAGTTCTCTCCATGTGCCCAACTATACTGTCCTGTCTCTATCTCTCTCCCTGTGTATGCCTAAATTTCACGTCTTTGTGATTTGACGGTCTTTAGTGCGCATGCCTAAGGGTTTAGACTTCTTATATAAGTGGGACAAGAAAGCGTAACTAGTATCACAAGACATTTACTCCTGGTCAGATTTCGCTGCTTCACAATTCCAAAATGTTTAAATTCGTTTTGGCTCTCACTGCATGTTACATTGTCGCAGGTCAGTAGTTTACTAAATCAGTTGTTAAAATGTTTTTTTTAAGACAATTGTTTGTTTTTCATCGAGGAGAGACAACTCCAAAATCAAACAACTGTTGCCTTGTAGTTTGTTCTTGGCAACAAATCCAAAAAGAAAAGTAGGCGGAAATCGGAGTCAACAGCCTACATGTCGCGGGCTTAGAGTCTAACCAACAGTTTTTCCTTAGATGATATTGTTTGATGTAGCACATAACTATTATGATATACAGACGTGTGGGTGTCAATAAGACTCGAACCAGACGTCTTCCATCAGTAGAGTAAAATCGACTTTTCAAGACCCCTCCCCTTTATTCCTAGTGCGCGTCATAAATAAATGAACCCTATATTTGAAATCTAGAATGCCAATACACCAACCCAAACAAAGCGTGTGATCGTTTGTTGACTTGTCTTGAAATTTATCCTGGTCGTCTGACTTGGGTTACCGACGAGGTAACATACACTTTGTACTGTCAGTAAGTCACCAGTTTTTTTTTTCTCAAACTAAGTTATATGAAGCCATTTTTTTGCTGCATCGTCGTAATCGTCATCATTATCATCATAATAAACATCATCAACATCATTAAAATCATCATCGCCACCAATACCATCACAATCTTCATCCTAAGCATCACTACCATTGTCATCGTCATCATTATCATTATTATCATCATCATCATTTTTAACATTATCTACGTCACCGTCACTATTATCATCATAATCAGCATCAAAAGCATCATCGTTAACATCATCACCACCACCACCACCATCATCACCATCATCGTCATCATGTCCTTTTTTTCATTATCTACGTCATCATCACCATTATCATCATAATCAGCAGCAGAAGCATCATCGCTAACATCATCACCACCATCATCATCCTAAGTATAACCATTATCATTATCATCATGTTGTAAATTTATGACCTCGTGAATTCTGAAACACTGCAGAATAAAGGAAATTCTACAGCACATCCACCTGTCTATAATTTAAATTTAAAAAAAAAAAAACAAGACAGGTACCAATAATTAGGGTCTGGTGTCAGACCTTGATCTTTCAGTTCACCGTCGTGTATACCAGCCAACCACATTACTCCATGAATGTAGTCAACGTCTAAACAAAGAGTTAAGCTTGGAATTAATTTTAAGTTAATTTTCTAATTATAGAACTTCATTTCGTGCAGTATTTAAAATAAATATTTATAAAACAATTTGACTTTGAATGTATCTCATTCCAGAAAAGGAACCAACTTCACCTCCTGTTTTGCAGCATTAGAAAAAGATGAATGCAAAAACAAAACAATTGTGAATACTATAAAAGAAATGGTTCTTGTCACTGAGCACCTATGTTCCACAATGGAGAAAGATGGTAAACTATTCGACTCTATAAATAGCTTCTAAACCGCTCTTGTAATAAGAATTAAAGCCTAAGCAACTATTATATGTCAAATCGAGCTGATTGTTTGTGTTGTGATAATAAGACACCATTGAAGTTTTAGATCATCTTTGTTTACATCATCCAAGGTCATCATCCAAGGTCAACAAGAATTTGCATAGACTCTCAAGATGGGCCTGCAGCATCTTGTTTTTTTTCCTCATTTGTATTAGCCCAGAGAAATGTTTATAATAAATGTAGGCGCTCTACTTTATCTGCCCCATGTGTCTTAAACAAGACGAGGGACGTTATATTTTATCGTAAAATTATTGCGTTTTCTCTTTCAGATTTTCTTGCTGTAGTTCTTTCCGAATGTTTTACAGACCAGACTATAAGGGATCAGGTGTATCAAGCTGTTATCATTTGTGAGTACATTCTCAACGCCCAGCGTGATAGTGCTATCACAAGTGGTTCTACTGGCGTTGATTGCAAGTAATTAGTTTTAATTATTACCATAATTAATAACCGCAAACATAATTTAATAATAATAAAATTGTAGTTTTTGTTATTGAATACGGTAATATTGTGTATATTACAATCAAGTTTATTGGGGTTTTTTTTTAAATGTTATATTTAAAACAAGAAATTTTTCAATGGATTAATTGCCTTTTACCAGCTTTTATAATTACAAGCTTTTATTTAGTTCGCAACGTCTGTTTGTGTGTTTGTTTGTTTGTTTGTAGTTTGTGGGTTTGTGGCAAATCTTGTAACTTAATTTTGACCCACTTCTAATGCAGCGAATTCGTTCAAACTTTCCATATACGTTTCACTTTGATGACAATAAAAGTCTATCTATTTTTTTAATTTAATTAGGTGCTCAATTAGTCATTAAAAATAATTAAACGGCTTTGAAACAAAGGGGAGAACAAAATTAAATCGTTCAATAGATTACTATATTCAATACCAGAAATGGAGACCAGTCTTGTGAGCTGTGGGGCGGTCGATCTAGTGAAGGCTATTAGCTTGTTGCTATAAAGTTTTTTCATGTTTATTTTATTATTGTTCTTATCTATGTTTAGAGTGGTTGAACAGTATTCCGCTTGTTACTTGAAAAGCTACACAGACCATTGCGGGCAGAAAATTGGAGTTTTACGACACAAGATGTTCAGCGTGCTACTTCCAATGCGTTTTGAATCCAGCAATTGCGGCAACCTGACGGAGAACTTGTTGACAGAAAAGCTCAGTTAAACATGTTTGTTTAATGTGCCTTTTTAAAACAGATTATATTTGTATGTACTAACAAATGTAATACGAAAATAGATCAAACATTTTGTTCTAAATTATTTTGTTATTATTATTATTATTATTGTTTCAAATTTTCCATACAACAACCTCGTAATAGTTACTTCATTCTTTTTTATTTATTCAAAATAAAGGTGTAGGAGTAGGTGGTGTATGTGTAGGTGTATGTGTAGGTGTAGGTGTAAATGTAGGTGTAGATGGAGGTGTAATTATGACCTGAATAGAGACACATTGCCAGCTCTGGCGCCTCCTTTATTAATCCAGATTTTAAAATACATTAAATACCACGGGAGGCGTGGCCTAGCGGTGGAGCACTAGACTGCTAACCAGAAAGTCTAATCCAGGTTTAAGTCAGTAGAACGTCCGTGAGTCCACCCAGCTCTTATGGGTACCTAAGTTGTGTTAGGGAAAGTAAAGGCGGATGAGCATAGTGCTGACCAAGTATCCCTTTATACGCCGAGGTAACAGAAAGATGTGAACTACCTCACTTTCCCATAGACAGGTTTGAAATCAAAAGACAAGTTGTTGACAATATAGCTACAACATCGCACTACAACCATGAGTCTGAGTTTGACTGGTACCTAGACCATCAGGTGCGTAACCAGGGTTGTCAACCTATCGTGAATTATTTTGATTTACTGTACTATACTATAATTAAGCAAGCGTATCAATGTGTCAACCCCATAACAGCCCAACCTGCCTACCCAACTGTACATTATTCTATCCAACCCTGTCAATGTCAAATTAAATCTTTGACCCACCTGACATCAACCAGTGAATTTAACCTTTAACCTACACAATCACGTGATCAATTACTACACAAGAACCTTGAATGTTTGTAATTTGTGGCTGCTCTAAAACCTCCCTTCAAGCAGGCCTTAAGGGTAATTAAACATCCCAGCAATATTGTAATTAAATAGATCTAAGTGGGATAACTCCTCCGTCCGTTTACTCTGTCACGAGTTATGATTTGAAACATGTGAACTCTACCTCACTTTCCCATAGACAGGTTTGAAATCAAAAGACAAGTAGTTGACAATATAGTTACAACATCGCACTACAACCATGAGTCTGAGTTTGACTGGTACCTAGACCATCAGATGCGTAACCAGGGTTGTCAACCTATCGTGAATTATTTTGATTTACTGTACTATACTATAATTGGGCAAGCGTATCAATGTGTCAACCCTATAACAGCCCAACCTGACATCAACCAGTGAATTTAACCTTTAACCTACACAAGAACCTTAAATGCTTGTAATTTGTGGCTACTCTAAAACCTCCCTTCAAGCAGGCCTTAAGGGTAATTAAACATCCCACTAATATAGTAATTAAATAGATCTAAGTGGGATAACTCCTCCGTCCGTTTACTCTGTCACGAGTTATAATTTAGGGATAATCATGTGAAGACAGAGACATTAATGACCCAATCGACGCTGGCCCCATTTATAATTGAGCGCCAACCTTATATATATATATATATATATATATATATATATATATATATATATATATATATATATATGTCCATGTGGTCAATGCGACAATTTCCGGATAAGACAGAGTAAACGTATTTGCCTTTTTACTTTCGCGTATACAAAGTTTAAACAAAGTATTGCAATAGTGTAAAAAACAATGAGTCTGAAAAATTTAGTTTTTTTCTGTATGTAGAAATTTTAATGAAATGACCAGAACATGTTATTTTTAAAAAGTGAAGTTTAGAAAAAAATTCATGCATGTAAAATAGAAACTTTAGAACAGTGCCAGATCAGATGTTCAACGTCTAAGTTTGGCTGCCTTAGCCAGTAATGGAAAGATGGTATCAATGTTGCGACCTGCAGATAAAATATACAAAACATAAATCCTATATTAAACTGCACGTTGATTACAAATTAAAAGTTACAGCAGGTAATTATTTTAGAAATAGTTTGAACTCACGCTAAAAATAATTTTAAAAAGGTAAAATAGACATAATTAAAAAATCTGTTTGTTGTAGCATAAAAACTCACGCGCATTCCTAGCCTGGGCGCCACAACCCAACTCGCCAAGCTCTGTTGCAGCCGCCACATTAAACAGGCGGCTAACGAAACCGCCGGCCCGACTACCGCATTTTTCTGTGGCTTTGTTTATCAGACAACCGGAAAACTGATCCATCAATCTAAACACCGGGGGGGGGGGGGGGGGGGGGGGGGAGAAATTATTTTAAAAAAATAGTAATACACATAAAATATTTAATTTTTAAAAATCTACCTACTTACGTAAAAGAGGGAACAATACCTACTTAAATGTCATCCATAAATGACGTCACGCTTTTTTTGACGATTTTTACCTCCCCCCTCCCGTCATCAGAGAAAGCTAGACCCCCCTCCCCCCCCCCCTAAAATGACGTCACACCTCAACCTACAACCCCCCTCAAAATTGCAGTTCAACTTTTTATGACATCGATATTTTTCTAAAACCTTGTCTGAACTCTGTCAAAATTGAGTATTTTAATCAATACCTATTACAATTTATTAAAACAGTTTTCTAAAACGCGAAATAACGTCTAAAAAATTTGTTTTCTAACATTGCTTTTTTATGATGCAAAAGTGTGACGTCCCTCCCCCTCATCACACACCGTCTCAAAATTACGGAACCCCCCCACCCTTCTCATTTATGGACGACCTCTTAAAGTGAAACACACAAAAATGGCTTAATAACCAAATAGCCAGAAGAAACATGTTTGGGAGAAAGAAAAAATATTATTTCTGAACATACAGAAGGTATTTTTTTTAATCCATCAATAGAAAGAAATAACAATTTTTCATTATATCTAAATAATGAGTAAAAAATTGAAAGCCCCTTGAGTATTTGAAACTTTTTGAGAACCAACAAACTTACGGACAAAAATCGAGATTTTCATTGTCAAAGATGAAGCGGCAGCCTTCAAAACCCTGCATTAACTCAACTATTTTTAGCTCACTACTGGCACATTCCAAGTTGATCAGGAAGGAAACGTCTGAAGTAAAGAACATCACATTGGGTTTTAGACAGAAGCGGATTGACGATGTTAAATAGAACACCCCCCTCCTCCCCATCAATCCGAAAAGGGGGGGGGGATAATTATAACGTAGCACTGATAAATTAACATTATTTTTTTACATACTGCATATTTATTGGTGGTTCTGGTGTGTAATGGAGGCCTAGCCTACCACTCTTATTTTGATATTTTTTCAGCCACTGAAGAAACGGAAGGCATATTCTCCTTATGATTGAAGCACAGCCGACCGGCAATAAATCGTTTGCTTAAGATTTCAAATAGAAATAATGTGTTTATTTTAATAGCGGTGAATCCATAACTTAAAGTCTATTGTATAAGATCATAACGATCGTCTTAATGACAATTTACGTTTGTTCAGTGTTTTTGTAAATGCCTATATTAAGTTCATTTTTAATGAATTTTAGAGCACGTTTATTATATTGATAGTTCAAAACATCACAACACCCATTGTTTAGCTAAAAAATATTTAATTAGTTTCACTTAATGAACGCGTGACTCTAAATTTTTTAAAGTTGAGATTTACAATAATTCATTTATTAGAAAAACTATTCTTGAATTTACTAGCGTGAACCTACCATCTCTGCTTTCATCAGTGCACAGAAAATCAGCTACACCGACCTGACTCTCGTAGTCGTTGAGTACCCATTTATTGTCGCACCCGTCTCTGGCGTCCCTGAAACAGCTACTGAACGTCTGGCTTTTCCTGGAAGTATGAAGGTTCTTTTGGTGTAATCAATCAACTATACATATACTATACTATGCTCTCTATTCCGGGAGGTTATTTTTTGCCTCACAGAAACATATGATATCCTGTGCATTCAAAACTACCTTGAATAGAAATCTAACGCTTGAATTTACTAAACTACTTTAAATTTTTTTTGGAATTTTGCGTAGTCTATGATGTGAAGCATACATAAGAACAGAGTTTCTTTCAGCTATCTTTTAATGGTGGACGCAGTCTCCTCCCCCCCCCCCCCCTCCCTCCACGAACGAAATAAACTGTATATACAAATTATAGAAATTATATTATACTTTTGTCAGTGTCAGCAGCCCTCCCCCTCCCCCCTGGGAAATTTAGTTCGCCAACTTCCCGACATTTCAAGTGTACCCCTCCCTCCCCCCCCCTCCTTCGGAGGAAATAAGTCTAGAGAAAAAAAACAGTGCATTAGAATATTCTATAATTGCATTCATTACTGATTTTAAAGTATGTTGTCTAAGCTGTTTAAACTCAAAGATGCGATAATGCAAGTGCGAAGGATTGCGGTATTAGCTTGCATTTCCCAATTGGCTGTACTAAGTCAAATATAGTTCTCAAAAGCACTTGCTCAAACAGTAAAAATACTAACAGCTTACTAATCAATCGTTGACTATTTGCCAAGCCATTTATAAGGACTATGGAACCGCGTGGTAGAGTGGCAGAGTTCGGGACTGTTGCTAGAGTTGTAGCATGTCTCTGAGTTCACCCAGCTCTGATGGGTACCTGACTTATATTAGGGAAGGTAAAGGCGTCTGGGCATGGTGTTGACCACACTATCCATTTATATCCTGAGGTGACAAGACAAGAACAATTTGTTTTACTTGTCCCAGTGGGTCTTCAGGTTAAAAAGAAAACTTAACATTACTTTAATTATAGAGGACTGACTGACAACTTGTTGTTTAAATTATCAATTAACATATTGTCCATTTAACCACCATTCTCATTTATTAACAAAATATTGACTACTGCTGAAAAAAAATTTGACCAAATATTGTCATATGCTAGCCGAACATAGGGACCAAATACTTCACGCTGCAGGTTTAATATTGACCACATGTTGACCAAACTTTGACCATTTGTTGACCAAACTTTGACCACTTACTGACAGAACTGATCATAGAGTGCAGCATTGCCGAAATCTTTGAAGTCTTCTGGGCCTAAATTGTTCAGCGGGCTAATGCAGGTAAAAATCTTGCGACAGCCGCCTCTCCTTTTGATGGTGTTACATTCTGAAATGTGTTTCATGAATAACCAACACGTCAACACAAACATCTGTCACCTGTAAACTAGGGTTAAAAAATTGACGCACAATTTTTTTCTTAATAATAATCATTAAGCTGACTAGCCTATCTCTTACAGTCAAATCAAATGAATAAAATATTAGCCTTCCTATTCTGCTAGTCTATCGAAGAATTAATAATAAATACACTAGCAACAAAGCCCGTCGAAAGGCAGGCAAAAAGAAAAGAAAAATAACACGCTTTATATGAGAAAAATAATATTAACTAAGATTGTTATTGCAAAATTTAAAAAAAAAAACGGTTTTCAGTTGCTTTTATAAGAAGTAGGTCTATTTGGTCAAGTTTTTAAATTATGACGTCGCAATTTTAACGTGCTTGAGAAATAGACACGTATACCTGACCATGGCTAAAAACAGGCTCTGGTTAAAAATACCAACCATAGTTAAAGTATGTCAGTGTGTCATTGCAAAGTAGTATGTTCGTTGGGAACTAAACCTAATTGAGGAGTAAAAATGTTTCCCCTGTCCCGTTCAATTTTTCTGCAATGATTAGATTGGAGTTTAAAATTTCTATCAGTCCATTACCGTAACAAAGTACTTGTTTAGTAAAAAGATTTTTCAATAACATTTTAGAACGTATTTTTAAACTTAAAAACTGTAACGGTATTTCTGAAGGTACTTTTTCAATTAAAAATTCAACAGAATAATGCTAATTATCTTAATCATTTGCATTATCAATAGTCTGCATTAAGATATGTTTCTTCTGCATCTTAAATTTGGCTATATCCAATACTCATAATTCTATCAACTTACATAATATTGCGCGACTCAAATAACGTTCAATATTTGCAGTGGTTAATTAAAGATAAAGATTCTCTGCATATCATATTTAACTATTTTAACTAATCATTCACTAGTAAAATGAAAGTTAATTACAAAATAGGAAGTTTTTAAATGCCTTTTTAATGGTCATTTATTTAATAAGTTATAGTCTAAGTTATAAATAATCTCAATCTGCTTACCCACGACAATGTAACACAGCGACAAAATCAACACGAATTTGAACATTCTGAAAAGCTGAAACTGTGAAATCTGACCAACTATCTCAACGTGAGCAACCAAGTGCAGTCTTGGTCTTCCAATATATAGAACTACAGTAGGAATAGCATGTTGTATTGTGACCTTTTATAGCGTTTATTAGTGACCTAGCACTAGCATTTGTTGCTTAGTAGAGTTGAAAATAGCAACGGACAAGGGCGGAATATTTTACTAGGCAATGGCCTTTATTTATCGTTCGGAAAGGTTAAGGTTGAGTCATTATGTTAGGGAACAGGGAAATGGGGGGGGGGGGGGCTTTGAAAATTTCGCAAATGTAGGCTGCACGTATAGGCTACGTGCTTTAATTCGTGATAGTTGTTGCAAAATGTTTTTATTACAAGCTTTTATTTAACTCACTGTCTCTGTCTGTCGTCATTCAAGATCGAAACAGCCGAGCAAAATTACGGGCACTTCTAACTGACAGATCCGGTTCAAAGTTAGCAAGTGGATCAAGACATGAAGACAATGCAATTTGACATTAAATTAATTCACTTAATTGTATGCCTAAATAATTTTTTATGAATTAATTAATTTTTTGTCCAAATTAGTAGGCGGTCTCATCAAACTATTCCGCATTATACACTACAATTTAAATAACTATAAAGAAAAGCGTGGATATCTGTCTACATATTAGTAAAGGTTTCCATTCGGGCATTTGTCGCATTTGGGCAAGTGTCCATTCGGGAAATCGGCCCTCGCGCAAACGGCATTGGGGAAAGTGTCGGGAATTTGTCGTAGACCCATTTCTATGACAGGGGGGTTGAGGATGGCACTATGTGATGTTGTGACGAGGTTAGACGATAGGAGAAGTCAGGAAATTCTTAGCTCAAATAGTGGGATGCGTTTATTAAATGACTCACACGCCGGTGCGGATGAAAATAGCGTCACAGAAAATTATAAGTCTTGCGATGTCAAACGTTATAAGTTTGACGCTGCCTCTAACTCCTAAACCTAGCACAACCCCACCCTCATTAACCCTGACACAACACCGCCCCCACAGTTAGCATTCAGCCCGCCCACGTTAAGCCTGACACAGCCTACGACATTAAGCATAACACCCCACCCACAGTAATCCTGACATTGCCCCCCCCCCTCCTGCGCTGTAAGTTTTACACTAATAAAGCTAAATTTTTGAAAAAATCTTTTTTCCCCGTTTGTCATTATATAATTATAAATAATTTGATATTATATTAAAGTGTTTTTACGATTAGCTCTAATTGGGACACACCAAATGGTTCGACGTTACATAATGTTGGGTATGTCGCAATCAACAAAATTAGGTACAATCTTTGGGGTCGGCGTGGTCGAGTCGGTAAAGCTCATGGTTGCTAAACCGAAAAGTCTCGAGTTCGAACCCTCGGGCAGATGAGGCTCGTTAGCTGGGGACAGCCACTCTTCTAGGAGAGACAACTCCAAAATTAAACAACTGCTGCCTTGTAGTTTGTTCTTGGTTGGACAAAGGCAAATCCAAAAAGAAAAGCAGGCTGAAATCGGAGTCAATGGCCTCAATGGCGCATAACCAGTTGACACGTAACGCTTAATTGTGTTGGAGGCGTGGTCGAGTCGGCAAAAAAAAAGCTCATGGTTGATAAATTCGAACAGTCTCGAGTTCAACCCCACTGGCAGATAAATCTCGATCCCCTTCAACACTAATAATTAAGAACGAAGAAGAAGAAGAAGAAGGTACAATCTTAATGGAAACAGGGCGAATAGGATACAACGTAACAAAGCAGATTAGTAGCTATGTAACACTACAGATTGGTAACTATGTAACATAGTATATAGTTTATTATGTAACAGTGTAGATAGGTAGTTATTCACAGAGAAGGAGAATAACAATGATGTAAAACACGAAAACTCCTTGATTTACTAGGTACAATCAACAAAACGTCATGTTAAGGCCCATAACTACAGCTCAGTGGTGTAGCGAGAGGAGGGGGGGGGGGTGGACCGCACCGGGTGACACCATTTAGGGTGGTGACACCAAGGCAAAAAATAGTAATATATATATTTATTAAATGAATAATTAGAGTGAATTAAATAGTGGCATCAACTCAAAGTGCCTGAGAATAACGGTTTGGTTGAGAATCGTAATAACCTATATGTTAACACATGTATTGGGGGGGTAAAAAATTTAAATATATCCAGCAGAATAAAAAAGTTTGAATACATATATATATATATATATATATATATATATATATATATATATATATATATATATATATGCGTATACACATACTTACAAGCGTATATATATAAATAAATAAATAAATAAATATATATATATATATATATATATATATATATATATATATATATATATATATATATATATATATATATATAAGCTATCTACAAGAAAACAATCTGGAACTTTTAAAATGTTAGTCTCAATGTTTTAAATTCGCTTCTACACAACAGAGGAAATAGCAAGTATGCACAGCTTGTTTCTCGATGATACAGGTCACATAACAAAATAAATTTATACATTATATACATTATATTCAACATCATGTGATGTTACTAGCCATCGGTACCCTTTACGCGTAAATTATAGGCCTATATATCTTAAAACGTACTTGATTGAGAAAAATATTTTATAAAATATTTTTTTTCCAAAACGCAATGTGCTTTACTACATATTGAACTATATTAATCACAAAGCAAAGAAAAACTTAAATAGCTAAAAGTCCAACACATTAAAAAAACATAGGCTATCAATACCTAATAGAAAAATTAAAACCAAATTATATACATTATTAGTCAACACAACACCATATTAAATGCATACACTGATTAAGAGACTTGTATTATTTCGTTAAAACCCTGCTGGTCAATAATATTTTTTGTTGTTATTTGTGTTAAGTGCGCACATGGACTTTTATATATTACTAGTCGTCCCGGCCAGGCCCTGCACTGGCCTCTGTTAAAAAAAACTATTAGTAAAGGACCATGACTCGTGTGTTTTTTAAGCAGCATATACCTTGCATTGCCCGGGTTTAGGAAATATATTGCTTTCTAATTAACCCTAACCACAACCAACAAAAAACCAAACATAAATACACACAAAAACACAAACATATCATAAAAGCAAACCTAAACACAGAACCGCAAACATAAATACAAACGAAACCGCAACGCATCGCAAACACAAAAATAATCACAAACAAAAATTCCAACAGAAACGGAAACAAACTCAAACGCAACGTAAACATAAATGCAAAAACAAACGCCAACACAAATGCAAACATAAACACAAACGCCAATACAAACACAACGATAAACACAACCACAATCCAAAACGCAACCGAGAACATAGAACATAAACTTAAATGTAAACATGAAACACTTTATTTCACTTTCTTACTAGCCCACATAAATATGTATTATAATTACATTGACAAATGTATTATTTCATGCGGTTGAAATTCAAATACTATTGCACCTGCTAAGTTACATGTCGTTGCGAGTTTTAAAATTGTGTGATGCTTAAATACAAAATAAGACAGCAAAATTGAGTAAATTGTGAGTTAAGAAAACCTGAAAAAAATGCTTGGAAAAAAAGTGTCATTTGGCATAGCTAAATTTCCTGTTTTGAAATGTGTAGTTGATATTTCAGCTTTCGCTTATTCCTCTTATGAAATGTGTAGTTGATTTTTCACCTTTCGCTTATTCCTGTTATGAACTGTGTAGTTGATATTTTAGCTTTCGCTTATTTATTTTATTAAATGTGCAGTTGATATTTCAGCTTTCGCTTATCCTGTTATGAAATGGATGGTAAAGAGTTCACAACTTCTACCCCGAAAAATCTAATTTTCAGATCAGGGCTCGAGTCTATAAGACGTTTTTACGTCCATCAAGCTCTTGTGGATACCTTACTCTGTTAAGTAAACAAAAGAATCTGGGTATAAAACAGTATGCACAATTGCCCTGTATGCTGAGGTAATTGAAATAGGCTCTCTACTTTTTCTGCTCCGTGTGTCTTTAACACGAAAGAGGAACGTTGATGATGATATTCTGTTATAAAATTGCGTTTTCTCTTTCAGATATTCTTGCGGCAGTGGCGTAGCTATGTTGGGTGTCACCCGGTGCGGCACCTTATGGTGTCAGCCCCCCCCCCTTAACAGTGAGATAACTCCTCCGTCCATTTACTCAGTCACGAGTTATACTTTAGAGATAAACATATGTGAAGACAGAAACGTTAATGACCCAATCGACGCTGGCCCCATTTATAATTGTGCGCCAAACTTATATATATATATATATATATATATATATATATATATATATAAACTTATATATATATATATATATATATATATATATATATATATATATATATATATATATATATATGTGTGTGTGTGTGTGTGTGCGTGTGTATGTGTATAGATGCGGTCAATGCGACGGTTTCCGGATAAGACTGAGTAAATGTATTTGCCTTTTTACTTTTAAAGAAAGTATTGCAATTGTGTAAAGAAACAATAAGTCTGAATAATTTAGTTATTCTGTATGTAGAAATTTTAATGAATTGACCGGTAGGCCTACATTTTTTTGAAAGTAAAATTATAAAACATATGCATGCGTGTAAAATAAACACTTTAGAACGGTGCCGGATCAGATGTTCAACGTCTAAGTTTGGCTGCCTTAGCCAGTAGTGGAACGATGGTATCAATATTGCTACCTGCAGAAAATATACAAAACATAAATACTATATTAACGTTGAGTACAAATTAAAACTTACTGTATTTTAGAAAGAGTTTGAACTCACACTAAAAAGAATTTTAAAAAGGTAAAATAGACAAAATTTTTAAAAAGTGTTTGGTGTAGCATAAAAACTCACGCGCATTCCTCGCCTGGGCGCCACAACCCAACTCGCCAAGCTCTGCTGCAGCCGCCACATTAAACAGGCGGCTAACGAAACCGCCGGCCCGACTACCGCATTTTTCTGTGGCTATGTTGACCAGACAACCGGAAAACTGATGCATCAAACTAAACACGGGGGGGGGGGGGGGGAAGAAATAATCATAACAAAAAATAGTAATACACATATAACATTTAATTTTTAAAAATCTACCTATTATTGTAAATTAAAGAGGAAACACAATACCTACTTAATAAAGTGAATCAAACAAAAAAGGATTAATAACAACATAATCAGAAGAAACATGTTTGAGAGAAAGAAAAATTATTATTTCTGAACACACAGAATGTATCTTTTTTTAAAATCATCTATCAATAGAAAGAAATAATAATTTTTCATTATATCTAAGTCATGAGTAAGAAATTGAAAGCTCCTTGAGTATTTGAAACTTTTTGAGAACCAACAAACTTACGGGCAAAAATCGAGATTCATGTCATTGTCAAATATCAAGCGGCAGCCTTCAAAACTCTGCACTAACTCAACTATTTTTAGCTCACTACTGGCACATTCCAAGTTGATCAGGAAGGAAACGTCTGAGGTAAAAAACATCACATTGGGTTTTAGCCAGAAGCGGATTCACGATGTTAAAGAGTACACCCCCTCCTCCCCATCAATCCAAAATAGGGGGGGATTAATCATAACGTAGCACTGTTAAATTAACATTATTGTTTTTACATACTACATATTTATTGTTTGTTCTGGTGTGTAATGGAGGCCTAGCCTACCACTCTTCCATCAAATAGAGCTTATTTTGATATTTTTTCAGCCACTAAAGAAACGGAAGGCTTATTCTCCTTATGAATATTTAATTAGTTTCACTTAATGAACGCGTGACTCTTAATTTTTAATGTTGAGATTTACAATAATTCATTTATTAGGAAAACTATTCCCGAATTTACTAGCGTGAATCTACCATCTCTGCTTTCATCAGTGCAGAGAAAATCAGCCACACCGACCAGGCTCTCGTAGTCGTTGAGTACCCCTTGATGGTCGCACTCTACTCTGGCGTCCCTGAAGCAGCTACTGAACGTCTGGCTTTTCCTGGAAGTAGGAAGGTTCTTTTGATGTATTCAATGAATTATACATTTACCAATCTCTCTATTCCGGGAGGTACGTTTTGCCTCACAGAAACATATGATATCCATTGCATTAAAAATTACCTTGAATAGAAATCTAACGCTTCAATTTACTTTTAACGACTTTAATCGTTTTTTGGAAGTTTTGCGTAGGCCATGATGTAAAGCATACATAAGAACAGAGTTTCTTTCAGCCATCTTTTAGTGGGGGAAGCAGTCTCCTCCCCCCCCCCCCTCCCCACTACGAACGAAAAAAAATGTATATACAAATTATAGAAATTATATTATAATAGGAGGAAATAAATCTAGAGAAAAAAACAGTGCATTAGAATATTAAACTAGGTATACAAACTATAGTTGCACTTTTTACTGATTTTTTAAAGTATGTTGTATAAGCTGTTTAAACTTAAAGATGCAAATATGCAAGTACGAAGGATCGCGGTATTAGCTAGCATTTCCCAATTGGCTGTACTAAGTCAAATATAATGCTCAAAACACTTGCTAAAATATAGTAAAAATACTAACAGCTTATTGATCAATCGTTGACTATTTGCTAAGCCATTTATAAGGACTATGGAACCGCGTATTAGAATGGCAGATTTCGGGACTGTTGCTAGAGTCGTAGTACTTCTCTGAGTTCGCCCAGCTCTGATGGGTACCTGGCTTATATTAGGGAAGGTAAAGGCGTCTGGGTATGGTGTTGACCACACTATCACTTTATATTCTGAGGTGACAAGACAAGAACAATTTGTTTTACCTGTCCCAGTGGGTCTTCAGGTTAAAAAGAAAACTTAACATTACTTTACTTATAGAGGACTGACTGACAACTTGTTGTTTAAATAATCAATTAACATATTGTCCATTTAACCACCATTCTCTTTAATTAACAAAATATTGACCACTGCTGAAAACATTTGACCATATATTGTCCAATGCTAACCGAACATAGTAACCAAATACTTCACGCTGCATGTTTAATATTGACCACATGTTGACCAAACTTTGACCATTTGTTGACCAACCTTTGACCACTTACTGACAGAACTGATCATAGAATGCAGCATTGCTGAAATCTTTAATGTCTTCTGGGCCTAAATTGTTCAGCGGGCTGATGCAAGTAAAAATCTTGTTACAGCCGCCTCTTCTTTTGATGGTGTTACATTCTGAAATGTGTTTCATGAATAACCAACACGTCAACACAAACATCTGTCACCTGTAAACTAGGGTTAATCTAATGTAAAAAGATTTGACGCACAGTTTTTTTCTTAATACTAATCATTAAATTGACTAGCCTATCTGTGACAGTCAAGTCAAATGAATAAAATATTAGCCTACCTATTCAGCTAGTCTATTGAAGAATTATAAATAAATACACTAGCAACAAAGCCTGTCGAAAGACAGACAAAAATAAATAAAAAATAACACGCTTTATATCAAAAACAAATAACTAAGATTGTTATTGCAAAATTTAAAAAAAAACGGTTTTCAGTTCCTTTTTTAAGAAGTAGGTCTATTTGCTCAAATTTTTAAATTAATGACGTCGCAATTTTGACGTGCTTGAGAAATAAACACGTATACCTGACCATGGCTAAAAACAGGCTCTGGTTAAAAATACCAACCATAGCTAAAGTATGTCAGTGTGTCATTGCAAAGTAGTATGTTCGTTGGGAACTAAACCTAATTGAGGAGTAAAAATGTTTTCCCTGTCCCGTTCAATTTTTCTGCAATGATTAGATTGGAGTTTAAAATTTCTATCAGTCCATTACCGTAACAAAGTACGTGTTTAGTAAAAAGATTTTTCAATAACATTTTAGAACGTATTTTTTAACTTACAAACTGTAACGGTATTTCTGAAGGTACTTGTTCAATTAAAAATTCAACAGATTAATGCTACTTATCTTAATCATATGTTTCTTCTGCATCTTAAATTTGGCTATATACAATGCTCATAATTCTATCAACTTACATAATATTGCGCGACTCAAATAACGTCGTTCAATATTTTCAGTGGTTAATTAAAGATAAAGATTCTCTGCATCTCATATTTAACTATTTTAACTAATCATCCACTAGTAAAATGAAATTTAATTACAAAATAGGAAGTTTTTAAATGTCTTTTTATTGGTCATTTATTTAATAAGTTATAGTCTAATTTATAAATAATTTCAATCTGCTTACCCACGACAATGTAACACAGCGACAAAATCAACACGAACTTGAACATTCGGGAAAGCTGAAACTTTGAAACCTGACCAACTTGTACTACGTGAGCAGCCAAGTGCAGTCTTGGTCCCCCCACTTAAATAGAACTACAGTAGGAGTAGCATGTTGTAATGTCAGCCTTTAGAGCGTTTATCATTGACCTAGCATTTGATGCTTGGTAGAGTTGAAAATAGCAACGGACAAGGGCGGAATATTTTTACTAGTTAATGGCCTACATTTTTCGTTCGGAAAGGTTAAGTTGAGTCATTTTGTTAGGGAACAGGGAAAGGGGGGGGGGGGTTTAGAGCATTTCACAACTATAGGCTACACGTACACGTGATTTAATTGGTTCCATTTGTTGCGAAATGTTTTTATGACAAACTTTTATTTAACTCACTGTATCTGTCTTTCGTCAGTCTAGATCAAAACAGCCGAGCGAAATTACGGGCACTTCTAACTGACAGATCCGGTTCAGAGTTGGCAAGTGGGTCAAGACATAAAGACAATGCAATCGGACATTAAATTATTTGACTTAATTTTATGCCTAAATAATTTTTTATGAATTAATTAATTTTTTGTTCAAATTAGTAGGCTGTCTCATCAAACTATTCCGCATTATACACTACAATTTAAATGACTATAAAGAAAAGCGTGGATCTCCTCCTAAATATTAGTAAAAGTTTCCATTCGGGCATTTGTCGCATTCGGGCAAGTGAGCATTAGGGAAATCGGCCCTCGGGCAAACGGCATTCGGGAAAGTGTCGGGAATTTGTCGTAGACCCATTTCTATGACAGTGGGTAGATGAGGGCACTCTGTGATGTTGTGACGAGGTTAGACGATAGGAGAAGTTAGGAAATTCTTAGCTCAAATAGTGGGATGTCGTTTATTAAATGACTCTCACACGCCGGTAAGGGTGAAAATACCGTCACATTAAATCAGAAAATTATAGAAATAAGTCTGGCGATGTCGAACGTTATAAGTTTGACGCTGCCTCTAACTCCTAAACCTAGCACAACCCCACCCTCATTAACCCTGACACAACACCGCCCCCACAGTTAGCATTCAGCCCACCCACGTTAAGCCTGACATTGCCCCTCGCCCCACCTTTAAGTTTTACAATAATAACGCTAAATTACTGCAAACATCCCCCCATCTCTCATTATATAATTATAAATAATATGATATGATATTTAAGTAAGTCTTCTCTTGTACAATCTATATATATAATTCTCTTCTGGGAGACGCTAGAAAACAAGCTGTAAACGCGCTCCCTACCATCCCCACCCCTACATGGTCTTAGTGAGCTGTGGTTCACGCTATGTTTACCTTCGTGGAGTCGGGTTTAGTGACGGCTATTAGGGGCAGATAATTTAGTTTGAAACGATTTTAAAAGTTGGGGGGGGGGGGGAGGGGGGGGGAAGGGGGGGGGGGGTATGGTCCTTACGAGCTACTTTTAGTGTTTTAAAGAAATATTTTCAGTGTCAGCGTTGGTACTGTCGAATTCACAAATTATGAATTACTGAAAAGTTGAAAAAACAACTGAATAGCGGCGTATGTTATGCCGCGGGCCGGCTCGTTAGCTATAATTGAGACACACCAGATGATAGGACGTTACATAATGTTGGGTATGTCGCGATCAACAACATTAGGACATTAGTAATGGAAACAGGGCCAAAAGGATACAGCGTAGCAAAGCAGATTAGTAGTTATATAACACTGCAGATTAGGAACTATGTAACACTAAATATAGTTTATTATGTAACAATGTAGATAGGTAGATATATTCAGAGAAGTGAGATTGCTATGTTGAAAAACACGAAAATATCTAATTCTACCAGGTACAATCAACCAGTAGCGTAGCGAGGGAGGGGGTGGGGGGGCGGGAGGGGGGTGACAAATGTCCCCGGGCGCCGACCTTAGGGGGGGGGGGCGCCAAATTGAAAGTTTGAGGGGGGGTGCAAATGAAAAGTTCGAGGGGGGAAGGTGCAAATTGAAAGTTTGTCCCCGGGCGCCGGGAAGGGTCGCTACGCCTCTGCAATCAACACCAGCACTGGCTTCTGGATGAAAACAATCAACAAAACGTCATGTTAAGGCCGATAACTACAGCTCAGAGGCGTAGCGAGAAGGAGGTGGGGGGGGGGGGGGTTGATGACAACAGTGAAACCATTTAAGGGGGGTGACACCAAGGCAAAAAAAAGTAAAATATATAAAGAAAAATGATAATTTCACTTAATTAAGTGATTCATTAGAGTGAATTAAATAGTCTTTTAAGAGCAAAGTGGACAAATCCCGACACGGGTGGAGGAGGGGGGGGGGTGACACTATGACGTAAACCTGCTAATGATAAAGAAAACATGCAACATCCAGCATATATATATATATATATATATATATATATATATATATATATATATATATATATATATATATATATATATATATATATATATATATATATATATATATTCTTACGGGGGGGGGGGAGGTGACACCATTAGGTGCCGCACCGGATGACATCCGACCTTGCTACGCCACTGGTACAGCTAGCCATAGTGTTGCTGCAGAGGTTTCTCCATTGCTGGACTATAACTATTAACTACATATAGGAAGAGCTTCAAATGTGGTAATGCGATTAATGTATTTTTTAAGTGTAGCTTATTTTACCTTCAACATTTCTTGTCATAATGACACTATTGTAATGGTTACTTCTCCATTAAAAAAAAAACATTTTTTTTGTCGTTACAGTTGTCATTGGTTGTTACTTGTGTTACTGATTTTTTTCAAAACTATCTGCAAGAAAACAATCTGGAACTTTTGGAATGTACACAACAGAGGAAAAAGCAGATATGCACAGCTTGTTTCTCCACGATACAGGTCACATAACAAAATCAATTTATATATTATATTCAACATCCTGTGATGTTACTAGCCGTCGGTACCCGTTACGTGTGAATTATAGGCCTATATATCTTAAAATATATATATCTTAAAATGTTGTACTTGTTTGAAATTTTTTTTTATAAAATAATTATTGGTCATAACGAAATGTGCTTTACTAAATGTTGACAAAGCAAAGAAAAACTAAATAGCTAAATATCCAACTCATTTAAAATAACATAGGCTATCAATACCGAGTAGAAAAATTAAAACCAAATTATATACATTATTAGTCAATACACTGAGTAAGAGACTTAAATGATTTCGTTAAAAACCCGGCTGTTCAATAATATATTTGTTGTTATTTAAAGTAATTTCTATTTGGCCGAGAAAATTGTATACTTTTCATAGTGTACGTCTTGATTAGCAGATATATAACTCTAAATCAAATTTGAATGAAATAGTTCAGCTTTTCATATTCTAAAATTAGAAGATGACGGCATTAGAGTTTGTGTACTTTCTGTAGTTTAATCGTGTGACATGTGACGTCATTGTTGTTTGCATTCTTGTCACAACCATAAACACTTTACGGTTTGCGTTTCTACATTCGAATATGCATTTTTTTTTTAATTTTCATCATTAAATAAAATTTAGTTTATACATTTAAAACGCCCACCATTTTATTTTTAAGAAAAGTCTGTATCAAGTTCTCCATATATCACTGAAGATATTGATCTCATATCCTCAGAAAATATGTTGCGGACAGAGAGCGAGAGAGAGAGAGAGAGAGAGAGAGAGAGAGAGAGAGAGAGAGAGAGAGAGAGAAGTGCGTACATGGACTTTTATATATTACTAGCCGTCCCGGCCAGGCCCTGCACTGGCCACTGTAAAAAAACAAACCTATTAGTAATGACTATGACTCGTGTGTTAATTAAGCAGCATATACCCTGCATTGCCCGGGTTTAGGATATATATTATTTTTCTAATTAACCCTAACCACAACTAACCAAAAACCAAACATAAACACACACAAAAACACAAACATATCATAAACGCAAACCCAAACACAGATGTTAAAAATCGCAAACATAAACACAAACGCAACCGCAACGCATTTTAAACACAAGCATAATCACAAACAAAAATTCCAACACAAACGGAAACATAAACTCAAACGCAACGTAAACATAAATATAAATACAAACGCCAACACAAATGCAAAAACAAACGCCAACGCCAACACAAATGCAAACATAAACACAAACACAAACAAATTGCGAGTTTAAAAATTTTGTTATGCTTAAAAAACAAAATAAGACAGTAAATTTAAGTAAATTGTGAGCTAAGAAAACTTGAAAATACAGCTTGTAATGAAATGTGTCATTTGGCATAGCTAAAATTCATTTTATGAACTGTGAGTTGAAATTTTAGCTTTCGCTTATTCATTTTATTAAATGTGTAGTTGATATTTCAATTTTCGCTTTTAATCCTTTTATGAAATAGATATTAAAGAGTTCGTTCACAACTTCTACCCCGAAAATCTGGTTTTCAGATCAGGGCTAGAGTCTATAAGACGTTCTTACTTCCATCGAGCTCTTATGGGTACCTGACTCATGCTAAGGAAAAAAAGAATCTGGGTATAGAATTGTATGCACAATTTCCCTGTATGCTGAAGTCATTGAAATAGGCTCTCTACTTTTTCTGCTCCGTGTGTCTTTAACATGAACGAGGAACGTTGATGGCGATATTCTGTTATAAAATTGCGTTTTCTCTTTCAGATTTTCTTGCGGCAGTGGCGTAGCTATGTTGGGTGTCACCCATTTCGGCACCGTATGGTGTCACCCCCCCCCCCCCCCCCCCACCCATAGTGAGATAATTCCTCCGTCCATTTACACAGTCACGAGTTAAACTTTACGGATAAACATATGTGAAGACAGAGACATATGTGAAGACCCAATCGACGCTGGCCCCATTTATAATTGTGCGCCAACCTTATATATATATATATATATATATATATATATATATATATATATATATATATATATATATATATATATATATATATATATATATATATATATATATATATATATATATATATATATATAAAATAAATATATATATATATATAAAATATATATATATATATATATATATATATATATATATATATATATATATATATATATATATATATGTGTGTGTGTGTGTGTGTGTGTGTGTGTGTGTGTGTGTGTGTGTGTGTGTGTGTGTGTGTGTGTGTGTGTGGATGTGGTCAATACGACGGTCTCCGGATAAGACAGAGTAAACGTATTTGCCTTTTTACTTTCGCGTATGCGAAGTTTAAAGAAAGAATTGCAACAGTGTGAAGAAACAACGAGCCTGTAAAATTTATTTTTTTCTGTATGTTGAAATTTAATGAATTAACCGGTAGGTCTACATGTTATTTTAAAAAGTGAAATTTATAAAACATACGCATGCTTGTTTAATAGAAACTTTAGAACAGTGCAAGATCAGACGTTCAACGTCTAAGTTTGGCTGCCTTAGCCAGTAATGGAAAGATGGTATCAATGTTGCGACCTGCAGAAAATATACAAAACATAAATTCTATATTAACGTTGATTACAAATTAAAACTTACAGTATTTTAGAAATAGTTTGAACTCACACTAAAAAAGAATTTTTAAAAGGTAAAATAGACATAATTAAAACAACTGTTGCAGCATAAAAACTCACGCGCATTCCTCGCCTGGGCGCCACAACCCAACTCGCCAAGCTCTGTTGCAGCCGCCACATTAAACAGGCGGCTAACGAAACCGCCGGCCCGACTTCCGCATTTTTCTGTGGCTATGTTGACCAGACAACCGGAAAACTGATCCATCAATCTAAATACCGGGGGGGGGATAATTATATAAAAAAAATAGTAATACACAAAAAAAAATTATTTTTTTAAAATCTACCTATTAATGTAAATTAATGAGGGAACAATACCTACTTAAAGTGAAACACGCAAAACATGGCTGAATAACCACATAGTCAGAACTAACATCTTTGAGAGAAAGAAAAATCATTATTTCTGAACACACACCAGGTATTTTTTTTTTTAAATCCATCAATAGAAAGAAATAACAATGTTTCCATACTTCTAAATAATAAGTAAAAAAATTGAAAAGTCTTGAGTATTTGAAACTTTTTGAGAACCAAATAACTTACGGGCAAAAATTGAGGGTTGATGGGTCCTGATCCGATATCATAGCGAGATTCATCTCATTGTGCAAGCTGAAGGTGCAGCCTTCAAAACTCTGCATTAACTCAACTATTTTTAGCTCACTACTTGCACATTCCAAGTTGATCAGGAAGGAAACGTCTGAAGTAAAGAACATCACATTGGGTTTTAGCCAGAGGCGGATTCACGATGTTAAATAGAACACCCCCATCCTCCCCATCAATCCAAAATACCGGAGGGGGGGGACGAAATTAATCATAACGTAGCACCAAATAGAGCTAACTTTGATATATTTCTAGCCACTGAAGAAATGGAAGGCATATTGTCCTTATGATTGCAGCACCGCCGACTGGTATTAAAATGTTTGCTGAAGATTTCTTATAGGCATAATTGGTTTATTTTAATTAAAAAGAAGCTAAAACTTAAAGTCGATTGTAAAAGATGCTAACAATCGACCTAATGACAATGTACGTATATTCAGTGGTTTTGCTAAGTCCTATTTAAGTTTATTAGCAAGCTTATTGATGCATGTTTGAGTACGATTATCATCTTGCTTGTTAAAAAACATGACAAGACCTATAAAATTTGTTTAGCTAAAAAATATTAGATAAGTTTCACGTAATAAACAAGTTGATATTTAGAATAATTCATTTTTTAGGAAAACTATTCTTGAATTTATTAGCGTGAACCTACCGTCTCTGCTTTCATCGGTACACAGAAAATCAGCCACACCGACCTGGCTCTCGTAGCGGTTGAGTACTCCTTTATGGTCGCACTCGTCTCTGGCGTCCCTGAAGCAGGCACTGAACGTCTGGCTTTGCCTGGATGTAGGAAGGCTCTTTTGGTGTAATCAACTAACTATACATATACTAAACTATGCTCTCTATTCCGGGAGGTACTTTTTGCCCCACATAAACATATAATATCCTGCTCATTCAAAACTACCTCAAATAGAAATCTAACGCTTGACTTTACTAAATTACTTTAAGCTTTTTTTGCTTTCTAGTATATACGAAGTATAGAGAAAGTCTTGTAATTGTGGAAAAAAATCGAGATTTTAACAAATCTCGACGTTTTATGCCTCACTGATACGGAAAAACATAATTTTGCAATCTTGTCCGTATGTCTGTGTGTCTGTCTGTGTGTGTGTGTGTCTGTCTGTGTGTAAACACGATAACTGGAGTTCCGTTACAGCTAGTTTGATGAAATTTCATATATAAGTATTTTATCAAAATCGTAGATCCGTATCAACTTTTGAGCGATTTCCAATAATGGGAAGTGGTACCTTTTCTACTTTGAATTTTTCAAAAGCCTATAACTTGAGTACTATTTAGGATAGATAAATGAAATTTTACATGTAAGTAAAAGATCTAAATCTCTACCTTCTGTCAAATTTTGAGTAATTTCCTTTGACCGCAAGTACTAATTTACGCTATTTCCGATTTCTCAAAAAATGCATGTAAATTTATACAGTACTAATAATATTTCTATGAGATTCTATTCTATTTTTTCCCACGTTTTCTTTAACTTGCTTTCTCTGTGTCTGTCTGTGTTTCTGTGTTTGTCTTTCCAATCAAATCTTGCGATCGAAATTTCTGGCACTTCCCAGTTAGCTAGCGCGCTGAAATTTTCAGGGAAGCTTTCTTTTGGATGACCATTGAATATTCAATTGTTATTATTACTAAATTTATCTATGGAAACATTTTATTGAGCATTTTAGACCGCTATATAATCTATATATATAATTCTCCTCTGCGAGCCATTAGAAAAAAAACGAGCGACGCGTACCTCGCGCGCAGTGAAGCGAACGATCCAACGTAGCGACAGGCTTAGGGGCAGATAATTTCACACAACGTGTTTTTTTACGAGTTGTCTTTTTACGAGTTGTCTTTTTACGAGTTGTCTTCGTTTACCCAACAAAAAAGTGAAAATATAAAATCGATAGCAAGATTTGAATGCAAACAAACAGACAAAGACTAAAAAGTAGAAAATAATAATCATTAAAAAAGTTTTTAAAAACCCACGTTTTCTGATTGAACTAAAAAGTAGAAAATAAATGCTATATAAAAGCGATCAAAAACGTGGGGCGCCGTGATTTTCTTAAAGTTTCTAATACTGTTGACTCTCTACAAGCTCCCTAATAAAAGTCAATAGTATTATCTAATCAATAGTAATATAACTTTTACTTCGGCGCCCCACGTTTTTGATCGCTTTTATATAGCATTTATTTTCTACTTTTTAGTTCAATCAGAAAACGTGGGTTTTTAAAAACTTTTTTAATGATTATTATTAAAAGTTTAAGTAATTAAAAATCATGTCTATATTCCAAGTTATATAAGAATATTTGAGAAAGTTTAGAGGAGATCACTCCCGGTTTATTTTTATTTTTTTTTTGGAAATTTTGCGTAGGCCATCATGTGAGGCATACATAAGAGTTTCTTTCCGCCATCTTTTAAAAGGGGGGCACAGTCTCCCTCCCTGGGAAATTTAGTCCGCCTACTACCCTATGCTGTTTAAACACAAAGATGCTAATATGCAAGTATAAAGGATCGCGGTATTAGCTTGCATTTCATAATTGGCTGTACTAAGTCAAATATAGTTCTCAAAAGCACATGCTAAAACATAGTAAAAATACTAAAAGCTTACTGATCAATCGTTGACTATTTGTTAAGCCATTTATATGTACTATGGAACCGCGTGGTAGAATGGCAGAGTTCGGAACTGTTGCTAGTGCTAGAGTCGTAGCACGTCTCTGAGTTTGCCCAGCTCTGATGGGTACCTGACTTACATTAGGAAAGTAAAGGCGTCTGGGCATGGTGGTGACGACGCTATCCCTTTATATGCTGAGTTCACAGAAATAAGTGCAATTTATTTGACCTACCCCAGTGAGTCTCCGGCTAAAAAAAAACCTAACATTACTTTTCTTATGGAGGACTGACTGACAACTTGTTTAAATAATCGATTAACATATTGTCCATTAAACCACCATTCTCAGTAATTAACAAAATTATTGACCAGTGCAGAAAAAAATTTAACCAAATATTGTCAATAATATTGACCAAATTAACCATATACTGACCAAATATTGACCTAATATACGACAAATTGTTAACCAAAAGCTACCATAAGCTGACCAAATAAAGACAAAATATTGACCTCTACAAACTAAACATTAATCTCTGACGACATATTTGCCGTTATTGATAAATTATTGACCAATGCTAACCGAACATGTGACTAAATATTTGACGCTGCAGGTTTAATATTGACCACATGTTGACCAAACTTTGACCATTTGTTGACCAAACTTTGAACACTTACTGACAGAACTGATCATAGAATGCAGCATTGCCGAGATCTTTGGTGTTTTCTGGTTCTAAATTATTCAGCGGGCTGATGCAAGTAAAAATCTTGGCACAGCTGCCAGCCCATCTGACGGTGTTACATTCTGAAAAGTAAATCATGAATAACTAACACGTCAACACAAACATCTGTCACCCTCAAACTAGGGTTAATCTAATGTAAAGATATGACCAACAATTTTTTTTCTTAATAAAACCATTAAACTGACTAGCCTATCTGTTACAGTCAAGTCAAATGAATAAAATATTAGCCTACTTATTCTGCTGGTCTATTAAAGAATTATTATTAAACTAGCAACAAAGCCCGTCGAAAGACAGGCAAAAATAAAAGAAAAATAACACGCTTTATATAAGAAAAGAAATAATTACTAAGATTGCTATTGCGAAATTTAAAAAAAAAAGTTTTCAGTTCCTTTCAGTTTTTAAATTAAGACGTCGCAAGTTCGACGTGCTTGAGAAATTGACACATATACCTGACCATGGCTAAAAACAGGCTTTGGCTAAAAAATATCAACCATAGCTAAAGTATATCAGTGTATCATTGCAAAATCCCAGTTTAACTGAAAAAAGTCTTTTTTTTCCAAAGAGCAATACAAACGTGTATGTTCGTTGGGGACTAATCCTTATTTAGGAGTAAAATGTTTCCTCTTTCCTGTTCAATTTTTCTGCAACGATTAGATTGGAGTTTAAAATTTCTATCAAAACATTACCATAACAAAGTACTCGTTTAGTAAAAATATTTTTTATAACATTTTGGAAAATTATATTTTTAAACTTACTAAATGTATTGGTATTTCTGACGGTACTTGTTAAAATTTAAAAAATCTACAGGATAATGCTACTTATCTTAATCTTTTGCATTATCTATAGTCTTAATTAAAAAAGGTTTCTGCTGCATCTTAAATTTGGCTATACCCAAAACTCATAATTCTATTAACTTGCATAATATACTCAAATAACGTTCAATATATGCAGTAGTTAATTGAAGATAAAAATTCTCTGCATGTCATATTTTAATTAACTTTTAATTGAATATCCTGGAACCCTATAATTCTTAATTAAGGTGAAATTACCTATTTTAACTAATCATTTACTAGTAAAATGAAGGTTAATTACAAAGTAGCAGACAGTTTTTTAATGGTCATTTATTTTATAATTTATAGTCTAAGTTATAAATAATCTCAATCTGCTTACCCACGACAATGTAACAAAGCGACAAAATCAACACAAATTTGAACATTGTGGAAAGCTGAAATTGTGAAATCTGGCCAACTTATACAACGTGAGCAACCAAGTGCAGTCTTGGTCTCCACACTATAGAACTATAGTTGGAATAACGTGTTGTAATGTCACCATTTAGAGCGTTTATCAATGACCTAGCACTAGCATTAGGTGCTTAGTAGAGTTGAAAATAGCAACGGACAAGGGCAGAATATTTTACTAGGTAATGGCCTACATTTTTCGTTCGAAAAGGGTAAGGTTAAGTCATTATGTTAGGGGACAGGGAAAGGGGAGGGAGCATGCAGCCCACCCACGTTAAGCCTGACACGGCTGCCTCCCACAGTAAACGCTGAGACGGCCTCCGACATTAAGCATGACACCCACGATAGTAATCCTGACATTGCCCCTCCCTCTCCCGCGATGTAATTTTTACACTAATAACGCTAAATTACTGAAAACATCTTTTTCCCACGTCTGTCATTATTTCATTATAAATAATTTGATATGATATTTAAGTAAGTTTTCTCTTTTATAATTAGCTCTAATTGAGGCACACCAGATGATAGGACGTTACATAATGTTGGGTATGTCGCAATCAACAAAATTAGGGACATTTGTAATGGAAACAGGGCTAATAGGATACAACGTAACAAAGCAGACTAGAAGTTATGTAACACTTCAGATTGGTAAATATTAAACACTGAATATAGTTTATAATCTAATAGTGTAGATTGGTAGATATATACAGAGGAGGGAAATAACAATGTTTAAAAGCACGAAAATACCTAGTTTTACCAGGCACAATCAACACCTGCACTGGCTTCATGTTCACGTCATGTTCAGGCCGATAACTACAGATCAGAGGCGTAGCCGGGGGGGGGGGGGGGTGGGTTCACCGCACCGGGTGATATCATTTAGGGGTGTGACGCCAAGGCAAAAAATAATAAAATCTATACAGAAAAATGATAATTTCACTTAATTAACGTGTGGGGAGGGGAGAGGGGGGCGGTAAGTGGCATCAACTCAACGTGCTTGAAAAAAATGATTTGGTTGAGAATCGTAATAACCTATATGTAAATCCTTGTATGGTGAGGGGGGATTAAATATATCCAAAATAAAAAAAAAATTATGAATACATATACACATGCGTATACACATACTTACAAGTGTATATATGGAATATATATATATATATATATATATATATATATATATATATATATATATATATATATATATATATATATATATATATATATATATATATATATATATATATTTATTTATTTATTTATTTATATATTTATATATAAAGTCTTACGGGGGATAGGTGACACCATTAGGCGCCGAAATGGGTGACACCCGACATCGCTACGCCATTGGTACAACTAGCCATAGTGCTGCTATTTTGTGGCAACCAGCTTAAGCCAAAATTCTCTGCCGTGTCGGGTATGACCACCAACTACAGCTGCAGAGTTTTCTCTATTGCTGGACTATAACTATTAACTACATCTTGGAAGAGCTTCAAAGGCGGTAATGCGATGAATGTATTTTTCAAATGTAGCTTATTTTACATTCAACATTTCTTGACATAATGAGAATATAGTAATGTTTACTTCTCCATAAAAAAAACATTTTTGCAATAACAGTTACATGTGTTACTGAATTATTTTCAAAACTATCTGCAAGAAAACAATCTGGAACTTTCGAAATGTTAGTCTCAATGCTTTAAGTTCGCTTCTACAAAACAGAGGAAAAATGCGGATGTGCACAGCTTGTTTCTCCACGATACAGGTCACATAACAAAATCAATTTATATATTATATTCAACATCCTGTGATGTTACTTGCCATCGGTACCCGTTACGCGTGAATTATAAGCCTATATATCTTAAAATGTTGTAATTGTTTGAAAAAATATTTTAAACAATAGTTAGTGGTCATAACGCAATGTGCTTTACTACATGTTGAACGATTTTAATGACAAAGCAAAGAAATAACAAAATAGCTAAATATCCAACACATTTAAAATAACATAGGCTATCAATACCTATTAGAAACATTAAAACCAAATTATATACATTGTTAGTCAACACAACACCATATTAAATGCACACACTGATTCATCATCATCATCATTCCTTTGTGGCCCTTGGGGAGCAAAGGGCTGCAACCACACATTTCCAGCGGACTCGGTTTTGGGCCGCCCCCTTTATCTGTGCCCATGTGTGCCCAGCTGCTTTCGCCTCTTCTTCAACCGTTCTTCTCCATGTCTTCTTTGGCCGGCCCACCCTCCTTTTTCCCTGGGGATTCCAGTCTAAAGCATGCCTGGCGATGTTTTCTTTTTCCTTTCTTAATGTGTGTCCGATCCATCCCCATTTTCGGGCCTTGATATCTGTCTCTATTGGCTGTTGCTTTAAAGTTCGAAACACACTGATTAAGCGACCTAAATGATTTCGTTAAAACCCCGGCTGTTCAATGATATTTTGTATACTTTTCATAACGTACGTCTCGATAAGGAGATCAATAAATCTTAATCAAATTTGAATGAAATAGTTCATTTCTTCATATTCTAAAATTGAAAGATGGCGTCATTAGAGTGTAGCTCAAATATGTGACGTGTGACGTCCTTGTTTTTTACATTCTTGTCACAACCATAAACACTTTCCCGGTTTGTGTTTTTAATTCAAATATGTCTTTATTTTTATTTGTCATCATTAAATAAATTTTAATTTTTACATTTAAAACATCCAATTTTTTCAAGATAATTCCGTATCAAGTTCTTGATGTATCGCTGGAGATAGTGATCTTATAGCCTCTGAAAATACTTTGCGGACAGAGAGCGAGAAAAAGAGAGAGAGAGAGAGAGTGAAAGAGAGAGGAAGAGAGAGAGAGAGAGAAGTGCGCACATGAAATATTTTATACGAGCCGACCCGCGGCGTATCATACGCCGCTAATTAGTTTTTTTATTTTCTACTTTTCAGTAATTCATAATTTGTGAATTCGACAGTACCAATGCTGCCACTGAAAATATTTGCTTTAAAACACTAACCCTAACCCTAATCCTTTCCACCAACCCCTACCCTACAACCCCCCCCCCCCCCCCCCGTGAAAGCAGCCTCCTCTTAGTTACCTCCTGTACGTTTAAAATCGTTTCAAACTAAACTATCTGCCCCTAACAGCCGTCACTAAACCCGTCTCTACGATTTGTAAAAATTTAGAGTGAACCACAGCTCACCAGATCATGTGGGGGTGGGGTGGGGGTGGTAGTGATAGCGATAGAGAGGAAGAGAGGGGACTGCAAAGGCGCGCTTGCAGCTTGTTTTCTAACGTCTCCCAGAAGAGAATTATATATATAGATATTACTAGCCGTCCGAGCCAGGCCCTGCACTGGCCTCTGTAAAAAACCTATTAGTAAAGGACCATGACATTGTTTTTATTAAGCAGCATATACCCTGCATTGCCCGTGTTTGGGACATATATTACCTTTCTAATTAACCCTAAAAAACACCCAACCAAAAACAAAACATAAACACACAAAAAAGCACAAACATAACATAAACGCAAACCCAAACACAGACACACAAAAACCGCTAATATAAACACAAAAGCAACCGCAACGCAACGCAAACACAAACATAAACACAAACAAAAATGCCAAAACAAACGGAAACATATTTAAACTTTATTTAATTCCTATTGTGAAATGTGTAATTGATATTCCAGCTTTCACTTGTTCCTGTTTTGAAATGTGTAGTTGATATTTTAGCTTTCACTTATTCCTGTTATGAAATGGATGGTAATAGAGTTCACAACTTCTACCCAGAAAATCTGGCTTTCACATTTAATACTAATGATGTTTAGCAATACAGCTGGTTGTTGCGTTGTTTTCTCTACAGTTTGAATGTTTACGTCATGGTGTTTTAAAATTATCCATTCGTCGAACTGGCAAATAAAAGATTTATTCTATATATCTTGCAATATTTTTTGGCTTGGTGTTACCCCTCGAAATGGTGTCACCCAGTGCGGTCCGCAACCCCCGCCTCACGACGCCTCTGTCTTGCGGTAGCTGGTTCCAAACGTAATGCAGACCCGACTAAAAAGTATGAGTTGTCTCAGGCACTTACTATGTGTGAGTTCATTTTTAACGCGCGCATTGAGAGTGCTATCACAAGTGGTTCCACTGGCGTCGATTGCAAGTAATTAGTTTTTATTAATCACCATAATTAATAACCGTAATAATTTTAAAATAATAATATAGTTTTTGTTAATGAATATGAGTCCACCCAGCTCTGATGGGTTCCTAACTTATGTTAGGGAAAGTAAAAGCGGCTTGGCGTATTGCAGACCACACTATCCCTTTGAATGCAGAGTTCAAAGAAACAGGTGAACTTTACTTCGCTTGCCCCGTTAGGTTTGAAATCAAAAGACAAGCTGTTGACAATATAGTGACAACATCGCACTGGCAACCAAGAGTCAGAGTTTGACTGGTACATAGACCATCAGTTGCGTAAATAGAGTTGTGTCAACCCTATAACAGCCTCAACCCTACCTACACAACTAAACAAAAAATCTATCCAACCCTGTCAATGTCTAATTAAATCTTCGTCCCACCTGACATCAACCAGTGAATTTAACCTTTAACCTACACAATCACGTGATCAATCACTGCACAAGAACCATATATATATATATATATATATATATATATATATATATATATATATATATATATATATATATATATATATATAAAGACAGAGTAAACGTATTTGTCTTTTTACTTAGTATAAGAAGTTTAAAGAAAGGATTGCAACAGTGTTAAAAAAAAGGCTGAAAAATGTAGTTTTTCTGTATGTAGAAAATTTAATGAAATGACCGGTAGGCCTACATGTTATTAAATAAAAATTTAAAAAAGTGAAATTTATAAAACATATGCATGCGTGTAATAAAAGAAACTTTAGAACTGTGCCAGATCAGACTTTCAACGTCTAAGTTTGGCTGCTTTAGCCAGTAATGGAACGATGGTATCAATGTTGCGACCTGCAGAAAATATACAAAACATAAATCCTATTTTAACGTTGAATACAAATTAAAGCTTACTGTATTTTAG